TATTGACACCCGACTTGCACCTGACCTCTTGTCAGATACACATCAAATTGTACTTGCTGTATATGATCATGCCGTTTCATTTAATATCATCACTGTTAACAAACTGTTATATAAATACTGTTCAAGATTTGTTTTCAATGTATTTCCAATATCATCACGGAACTAGTTTGGTGAAATACAGAAATGTTTTTGCTCCGTTAAACTTATTTAGGTTGCAAGTAATCAATAATTGAATCTTGCACCTGTAGCTTGTAATAGAATGTTGATAACGTGCCGAAAAATGTGAATGCTGTTGGTGGAGACATAAGAAAATGCTAATGTGAATTGCGGAATAATTTATCGAATGTTCATTCATATTCTGAGTATTTGGATATTCTGAGCATATAATCGGTAAATAAAAATTCAATTGATGAGTAAATTAAATCAATTTACGAATTTCTGACAGCACATGGCCAACTGTCAGGTGGTCGGTTCTGTGACCACCTGATGGATTTCTACTGAGAGTCAGGGTACTTTATTGTTCCAATTAAGTATGACTAAGGCAGGACAAGTGAAACGCACGATTAACACTAGATCTATTATAATAATAAAGTGGCTTGGTGAGTACAGAAGAAAGGGGATTGACAGGTACAGCACAAGTATGTGCTGGAGGAGCGGCTAGCAAGGTGAATTGAATGAATTGATCTTTCATTCACTATATGATCTTGTACCAAAGAATGATGTGATCTTTCATTCACTATGATCTTGTACTAGTGAATATGATCTTTCATTCGCTATGATCTTGTACTAGTGAATATGATCTTTCATTCACTATATGATCTTGTACTAGTGAATATGATCTTTCATTCACTATGATCTTGTACCAATGAATGTGATCTTTCATACGCTATGATCTTGTACCAATAAATGTGATCTTTCATTCACTATGATCTTGTACCATTGAATGTGATCTTTCATTCACTATGATCTGGTACCAATGAAGGTGATCTTTCATTCACTATGATCTTGTACATAAATACAAGATTCGTAGGTCTAGCAAATGACAGCGCAAAGGAAGGCGGTTATAAAGACGATTTCTGAACCAGACTTGATTTGTACTATTGCAGCACAGGTTCTATGCCAATAAAGATGTGACAGTCAATACCTACAGGCGTCGGAGCGAAAACAGTGTAAAATAGCACCGAATTTCTCATCAGTGCGGGAATAAAAATTTCGTCGATGCAGATGGTCAAAGTTGAGATTAACAGAATTTGAGCAGTAAGTTGCGGGTTCGATCCCAGCTCCCTGCGGAGAGTTTTGGCCAGAAATCAACGATTAGGCTGAGTGGTTAGGATCGATAACCAGATTGGAGCACCGAGTTGAAGGTTCGAAACCAGCAACTGGTCTGCAAATATTGTTTGAAATCGTTAAGGTGGTAGGGTGGTTAAGAATCGACGAAACGTGAATATGCCATAGCCAAACATGACCCCGCTGTATAATTATAATGATAATAGTAATAATTATGATAATGATGATGAAAATATTACTACTACTACTACTACTACTACTAATAATAATAATAACAATAATATTAATAATATTAATAATAATAATAATAATAATAATAATCAAAATAACAATAATAATCACAGGATGAAAAACATAAGATAAATATCCTATAACTTGAAACTTGATATTTCTGAGATGTGCTCCATGCAGTATAAGCATTTTTCGTGTGGCATTTTTCAATGTGCAAAATAGAACGGCGCTGTCGCGGACAACAACTGTTGCTATAGCATGGGAGGGGCGCTTTACCTAACTTCACACTTAGTTCATATTTATTTCCGTAGGTAAGAACGCTAGAGGGCATAATAGCCTATGAAGTCAAGTGCTCAAAAGCCATAGCGCCGGATATCTACAGATACAAAAAAAGCTTGCTGAAGGTATGTATGGCCATACTGCATCTGGCCAAACCTCTTCCGGCCCAACCTTTTCAGGCCTAACCTACACAATTACAAGATTTCTCCACCCTAAACAAACTATAGAAGTTAAGGGCTGGCGAAATGGGCTGGCCGACATCAGGGCTGGCGAAATGTCGGCCGCTTCTACTTCAGTGGCCTTGTACGAATAAGGGGAAGAACTTGCACTGGGTAATATTCAGATGCTTGGTTGGATTACTGTTCTTATTAACCGTGGTTCTGTAGAAAATGTAGTTATTTTTAAGAATGTTCTCAATTTCAGCTAACTTAACTGTTTGTAATTTTCGAACATGAGGCTGATGATTAAAATATTATGAAGCTTCCAAGATTAAAGATTATGAAACTTCCAAGCCTCTGTTATCGACGTGTCCGTGGTGACCTCATTGAAGTAAACAAGCATACCCACGGTTTATACAAGGTCCCAGAAGGATTACTAGAATTTGAAACAATAACCAACACCATGTTTATAGGGGCCATGGCTATAAACTGAAAAACTGCGTTGTAACACATCCATGCGACAGCATTTCTTCTTGCTTCGAGTCACCGACATGTGGAACAGCCTCCCTGCCCTGATATAGCATCGTTGACTCTCAGAGTATGAACGCCTTTAAGAACAGACTAGACGAAGCTTTACATATTCTATTCTATTCTAATATGATCTTCCTATGCCCAAGAATATGATACATGCAGTCATATGTTATGATAGATGATATACAATGCCAAAAAGTGCACTCTGCCGGTATGAAATATTGCCAGATATATTCAAATACTTTTCTCCTTACCTGAACTTAGCTGCAGCATTCCTGCCTGACTCGCCAGGCTGAAGTGCAACACAATGAAGTGACCAGGGATATATATTTCCTTTAGTTATCCCCTCAACTAATTTTCTATGAACGTTGGTACTCTAACTCGAAAACGTTGGTAGGAACAAAATCAAATGATTTTGTTAGCATAGTTGCATATGAAATTACCCTCGTTATAAATTAAATTTCAGACGAATAGTATCCTGTTTATCTGATCTGTGTCCATTGAAATACCTTTGCATCATCGAATTCATTTAGGCTGAAGGTAATCACCGTTTTGTATCTAACTTAAAAATTGGAGACGTACGACGATTCGAAAAAGTATTGTAGAACAATCAATTAAATACCTAATTCAAGACATTTAATAATTAATTTTGTGAGTATATAATTAGTAAATAACGCTTAAATTATTGAGTAAATTAACTTAATTTACGAATTGCCGACTTTACAGTCCCAACAAGTCGTCTGCCTCAGAAAAATTGGAGTACTCTACTCATCCGCGCAAAAAGAAAAAACTTGTTCAGTTACCCACTGAATAAATCCTGTAGGTGCTACTTAACCTTGTGTCTTCAGTGCGGGCGCACCGACCTCGTGTTGTATTCAATTTCGGTGGCATTGCGCCGTCAGCATTTTTACATGTATCTTTGAAACTTGAAGGCTGGCGAGACGCCGGCCGCTTATACTACAATTGCTCTACGTGAATGAAATGAGTGCCTTTCATTGCGTAGGAATGAGGACGTGGTAGGATTAGTGTTGTTATAACCGACAGTTCGGTAGAAAAGCAATTCATTTTAAGAATTTTTTGTTTCTCTTCCTCAATTATTACGAATTAAACTGTTGTAATTTTCGCACATGAGGTTTTCATGGGACATTTTATTGCGGTATTACGACGTCTCTAGTACATATTATTTAATATCAAGCAAAGTGAAGGTTTAGTAAAGCTCAAGTTAGAACTGATGAACATAAATTTGCCGGAATAACACACACACGTCAGATAATCTTCTCATTCCGTACTGCCCGACGGTCAGTATAATTACTAATATGATAATTTTGATAATAATGAGAACAATAATAATGATAGTAACAATTATGGTAATATTACAAGTAATAATAATTAAATAATAAAAATAATTTCAGCATTAGCAACATGTGAGAAATATCGTATATCAGAAAACTTGATATTGCTCAGATGTGCTCAACTATAAGCATTTTTCGTTCGCTATTTTTCAATATACAAAACAGAACGGCGCTGCCCCGGACAACAACACCGTTGCTGCAGCAGGGGAGGCTCTTCCTTTCACCTCGACCACAGCTGTGTTCGGCAATGTACGTGAACGCTTGTTACCGTTCACATGCCTGTTATTTTTCAATCACCTCTAATATTTATTCAAAGAAGTATTCAAGATAGGCATTACATTTTGATATTCATCACTGGACACGTTGCCGTTACAAACTCGTGCTGCACATTATTAAATTCTGAAATGCAGCACGCGGCCTGTCTCTGATGGTCATATGGCTGAGTAGTTAGTATGTTATATCGTATAGATCACTGATTTATTTGTATATTACTCCATATAGGTAATAGATATGTTTTAGATGGTAAATGAGGGGTTTAAATCAAATGTTAGATTTATTAATATTTGCTCACCCTCGACTATGTAATACAACAAAATTATTTGCTCAGACCACAGATATCTAGTTGAAATCCAGCATGCTGTTTTTGGTTGCAAGTTCGAGAATAACGTAATGAAAATTTTAAATACTACGTTGTATTAAAGTTGAAGGTTTCTCTTGCTTAGATGGGACAAATTTCCTTGATCACGAACGTTTCGGAATATTTAGAAACCAACTTTTAATGCAATTTAGATATTGTTAGCATAAACTACGAAGTTCAATCTTCACTTTTATCCACATCTTCTAATATCTCAAACTGCGATAAGTTTTACTGGATTATTTTGTAAGCAGTAATGTCTCAGGAGTTTGTTCCCGCTGCATATAATAAGTTTTTAAGTTCGCAAACTCTCCAAGTATTTTCTCTATGAAAAAATCACTCCGAATTTTCAATATTCTTTATAACTGAACACCTCTTTCACGAGATATTTCAGTTCGAAAATTTTTATTTGATGTTCGGTCATAACGAAAAGTAGGAGTGTCTCTGCTCTGGTACGATATTGATTGCGGCGGACGCCATCTAGTGGCAGTTCGTGGACTCACGTCGCTGAGCAGTCAGTGTGTTGTTGTCGGTGGTGCAAGTGGTGTGTGCAAACATGGCGCTCAAATATTTAGTTGGCCAAAGTGAGTAAATGTGAGATTATACTCGTACAACTTAATTTTTTTAATACTTTAGTTAGGATTATTTTTGGGGCATATTTTATGATAGATTAAATACTGGTAGCGTGTTTATTAACCAAAAAAGGCGATTCCATCATGGTTATCTCTGGCTGTTTGTTACGAGTGACTCATTAACATCATAGCTATCATGGACGTTGCTTCATGATAATATTCAAATTCTGCGTCAGCAGCCGAGCAGCGTGACAATATTTATCTTCTATCAATGAAATTCTCGAAAGTGCACAACAATTGCTTTTATGTTGAGCCTCTTTTGGTCGTTAGCACTGTTGATTGATTCAATTTTAAAGTGCCTGTCGACGAAATAGGTAGGCCAAATTATTGCTGAAACATTTTGATTTGTGGTTCTAATATAAATTCTTAAAGAAATAATTAGCATATTTTCAGACTTGGGTAAATTTGGAAATTGTGACTCACTACTCAGTGTTGTAGTTTTATCAAGCTGTGGCTGTGGCCTGTGGGAAACATCTATATATTTTCTATGCTGCAATCCTGCAACTAGTGCTTCCTTTGTTCATGCCAGTCTACAAAATTGGACGGAACTGCAGACGCCACCTGTGGAGCTGTGGTTTGTAAATTGTAAATGAGATGAAAACACCTGAGAATTGTTTGCAGCCAAATAGGAAAATTTGGTAGAAACTGATCATGAATTGAACAAAAATGCCTTTAAGTTTTGCTAATTTTACCTGTTCCTATGGCCTTTCCTCCATTTCTTCAGAAGTTCAGTGAAAAGCAAGAATAAATGGTCTATGTCCACCTGCAATCTTTGGAAATCACCTGCCAAACAGTAGTTTTTACACAAGATTTTATGAGACTTCTGCGAGTTCTGCCTAATAATCCAAATAGGGTAAACGCGGTATATTCTGACACATTAAGGACATAGCAAAAAATGAATGGCTATAAAAAAATCACAGTATGCACAACTCGAGTTCTGTTTGCTTTACGTCACTCTCAAAACACCGCACTACACGCCAGCATACTACATTCAGGATGATGTATGTTTTCGGTGAATTTTCCCGCGCATTTTCACTTTTTTTAAGCTATTGCTGTGCACCGTTGGCGCAATGTAATGAAAATTGATTCTCTTCGCGCACGTGTTCGCGCAATCCCGGCCATCAATTCTACGTCGCGCTGCCGCGCACGAGCAGTTTGTGGAGGAACAGACATAATACTCAGTACAGTATGCCTTTAATTATCTTTCAATAATATATGATTTTTCTTGATACGGAAATTTGGTGAATGAGAAATCTAGAACTTTGTTTTAGAAGAAATTTTCTCCAAAGTCATATGGCAACACTGAACACCGTCTGTTTACATTTCGTATGTGTAATAGCCGCAGTTTATGATTACCGTACGTTCCGTATCTGACAAGGCGGACAAGTGGAAGAGTCAGAAGTAACCCGGACATGTCTTACATTTTATTATTGTCAGTTCGACTCGCGTAGTCAATATACTCGCGTATATTGTCAACTAAAATAGTAGAACTATTTTAGCTTTCTAGAGTACGGCGCACGGCGCATATTTTTACCAGCATAGTACGGCGCACCGCGCAGGTCGTTAAAATGACAAAATAAATTCCCGTGCACCTGGCACATCTTCCTGACCATGGGCCAGCAACAATGAAACGTCACAAACTGTTGCCATATTTATTTAAAAGCCTTTAGAATGCAAACCTACCAAATCCATATATTCTGACGCTGTGTGTGACTAAATTTGGCATTTTGTGAGACTAATTCCAGCCGCACTTCAAACTCTACTAATTTGTAATTCCAACACTCTTGTGTTCAAATTCCATTTGCTGTGTGAGCTGTATTGGGATACGACACAGCTTGGAATTAGAACACTATTGAATATTGAATACTACTTAATTAGGCTTTTAATTAGGAGCTATTAAGCTTTTAATTAAGAAAATTTCAATTTTTGCACACAGCTCAGAATGAGCTGTGTGTGTCTAATTCCAAGCTGTGTCAGAATTAGTTTTTATGTGTCTAAACCCGCCTCTTAACTTAATCATCTATTAATTTATTTACCACTTGAAATCAGCAAATACAAGTATACTTAAAGGATTCCTAATATATTCACAGACTTATTTAAAAGTCCCAAACCATAATATTCTTTCTACACAGATAGTTTATCACTATTTGGTAGAGCAAGGTCAACTATCAACTTTGACACGTTTTTCCAATGTTCTCACTGGGTGGCATGCACCGCCTCTCTTTGGACCTTAACATTTTCGCGCTAGATGGCCCAGACCTAGTGTTTTGGCAATAGTATGGTGCGCAAAAGTATGACGTCACTATTTCAACCATCAACGAATGCATGGAACTAAGACAAAGCTTAATATAAAGGAAAAAAGTTGAGAAGTGTCGGAATTACCCACGATGTCGGAATATACCGCGTTTACCCTAGGGTTTGAGTCAATTACTCAATTTTACCTGTTTTCACAGTCATTGCCAAATATGTTTCTTAGAAAAGAAAAAAGGGCACATTTCTGCCATGATTTATGGAAATTTCCTGTGAAACAAGTTTATTACTAGTAGTTTTGCTAATTTAGCATTACATGCATGGAATTATTTGGAATATACCTATCTACTTGGTGAGCCTCAACTGTATTTTTTGAGCCGTGGTTTTATGGATCTGCCAGTCGTGATTCAATTTCTGCAAGCTGTGAATTCCATATCTTGACCATGAAGAGCCATTTTATGAGCCACAAACTTATTAACAAAAGTCCTGTGCATGTGTTACCCAGAATCTCTCTAATTTTACCCTAAAACAGGCAAACCGCAACAATAACATTTGTCTTTACTTCAGTGGCAACTGAACACAAGATAATGTAGTCTGACCGCTCTGACATGACCGCATCTGCAACTGCAACTATGTGATAACAAAACCTTTTGGATTGACTCATTATCACTAGGTACTTTCTGCAGGATATTTTGGTGGGAGCGTTGTAGTACTACGTACTGCAGATCGCGAAAGTTAAAAATTTTATGAAACAACATGTTTGCAAAGTGCAAACTGTGATTTTGTCAATCAAACAAAAATACATGACGTTAGAGCTGCGATATTTCATACCTACAAAAATTATATTATATTCAAGCTGCAATATTACACTAAAGATGTAATATTATTTATATAATGATGTAATAAATAAAATAAAATTAAAAAATTAATTTTTTATAATTTCATAATAAAATTAGAAATTCATTGTACATGTGAAACAACATAGACACTGGATTCTTTGGAAATGCTGCCTTTAAAAAGTACCGTAAAATGGGGTAACTTAGACCGGCGGGGTAACTTAGACCACTTTTTGTTTTTTTTAACAAAAACCCCCACTACTCAAAAACTATTTGACATAGAAAAATTTTGTCAATGGGCATTAAAGGCCTAATACTGAGGCTACATAACACAATATAAAGATTTGAAAAGTTTGCATATCTAATAGGTTAAAAAATTAAAAATGTGACCCATGAAAAAAAGCTATTATTTAAAGCCTGTCAGAGCACCCCCTCAAATTTTTTTATTTTTTGGTTAAATAACTCCAGGTTTTGATGCATTGTAGTAGAACTCTTCTAGTTACATATGCAAATGACAAATTTTAGGAAAGTGTCATAGTTTGCAAATGGGGGGCGCTGCCCCCAAATGGGGTAACTTAGACCACCTAATGTCAGCCCTGACGGGGTAACATAGACCGGCTTGGAAGTTTATATAAAATTACCATATGTAACATATTTTATGTTTGACAGCCTATTTATGTTTTTTCTTTATGTTTCAGACTCTACAGAGTCTTATATATGGTAATTTTAACTTAATTTCCAAGCCAGTCAATATTACCCCATCAGGGCTGCCATTAGGTAGTCACATTTCCTTCATTATGGGGTGGTGCCCCCCATTTGCAAACTATGACACTTTCCTCAAGTTTGTCATTTGCATATGTAACTAGAAGAGTTCTACTACAATGCACCAAAACCTGGAGTTATTTGAAGTTATTTTACCAAAAAATATGATTGATTTTATCACCCGGTCTAAGTTACCCCAAGAGCTGGGGTAACAAAGACCATCACTTTTTTTGAAATTACATAAAGACTATGAGAGGCAGGAGCCAGCAATTTATGGTGAGTGAAGCTAGAGTATAGACCTGTATTTTGCATGTTTCAATTCAAGTTTAATTTAGCTAGTAAAAAAATGGCATCATTTATAATAAAAAAAGTGGTCTAAGTTACCCCATTTTACGGTAGTACTAATTTTTAAATGCATACGTACTATAACTAAAATTTTTTGGAATAGGTCACTCAGACAACCCCTGTTTTTTAATTCCATGATTTAGTAAAGATTTTATTCAATATCCATACATGTATAATAATGCTTGTATTTATAATACCTTACTGGTCAACTTATAGGTTTTGAAAGTAAATTGGAGGAAAAGGCTGAGCAGTCTGCGCTTTGCCACTACACAAGTGATCATCAACAAATTATTTTGACAGCAGTCAGTGTGTGTGGTATGACAGGTGTGGGATGTATCAACCCTAGGAGCTGCACAGTACCACAATCCTGTGGTACTGTGGAATTTCCCACAGGACCACATACAGTACCACAGTGCCACATTCTTCAAATGGGGAAGTTGAAAATTTCATGGAAAGACATATGTGCACTAGTATTTTGATCAAACCAAAATGCACAACTTTGGTGCTAATAATCCAATAGCTACAGAAATAAATGGATATTAGATTAGAGCCAGAATATTTTAGTATAATGTAGGATTTCTACAATCTGGGGCAGTTTTACATCATTCATCATGTCTTATTGTTGCATCTCACTAGTGCCTAATTTTTGTGCTAGTGCCACAAAATTCATGTCCAATTTTGAATATTTGTCAGTGATTTTAGTGCATTTTCTCATTTATGGAAAAAAAGAGTTATAATGCTCGTCATGTCCGTCTGTTTGTCTGTGACTTCACATCACAGACGGACAAGAAAATGCTCTCTCTGTCACTCACTGCAGTGAGTACCATACTGAGTTATATTTTCTAAGATTGTACACTGTTAGAAAAATTACCATTAACGGTATAACTGGCGTTTCAGTGGCCGGTCGGCACATGAAAAGAAACAGCGTGTTGCCGTTTTTATTCTAATTTAACACTAGAAATCCATTAAACATCTGATAAAAACGGCGAAACAGTTTATTTTCACAGGGCGACCGGCCACTAGAAGGCCGGTTGGACCCTTTTTTCACCGTTTTTTCTAACAGTGTAGGTTGAAATAAGCGAATCATTTCATTGATGATTTTCAAAAAATGTAGGCAAAATGTGCTGTTTTTCTCAATTATTACATAAGAAACGAGTAGAGCTGAAAATTTTAGCAAACATGGATATTTTTCTCATTTCCAATTAGCTTCAGCCTGATTATGTTGTTTGTATCTACATTAAATGAGATGGTCAAAACTGCCAACTGCCTGCTGGTTCAATTAAGTTTTAATTACAACTGAAAATATTAAATATTATTCACTCCACACTTGCCTCAGGACAAGATTAAAACAATCCTAATTTTCAAACTATAGATCAAACTAAAGTATTTCAGCTCCACAAGGATATATACAGTTTTATTAAATTAAAAATCTTGAGCCTGCAAGTTATGCATTTTAGTTTGATTGAAATTATCACTGTTTGTGCAAATAAGGTTTTGCCCTTCATTGTCTTGTTCATTTGAAGAATCTTGGCTTCATTTTTCATATGATAAATAGAAAAATTTTTATTGTAAAACAAAATTAGACTAAATCAGAATATTCAGTTACCACCTCTGGGCTTACTAATGGTTAGCAGATCACAATAATGTGAATTAGCATCAAATTAATTTCACAATAAAATGTACAGATTACTTGTAGATGCCACATCACAATACATGTTTTATTCAGTAGCATTAAGTTAGTTTTATTTTATATAGGTAATCTCAGTCAACTCAATAGGGGATTAGAGAAAGCACTTTATACAGTGTCTGAATTAAGGTCAATTTTGTTTCCATCAATTTACAAAAATATTTTTACATGGTTGCTATAGTTTGCCCAATGCCATCCTATAGTTGATGGTGCCTGTATAAACCCATACTGAGAGGTGGGTCTGGCTGACCCACTTAGATGAGTCAACCGCATTCCAGTAGCAATGAAATTTTTGACTCGCTTGCCCACTTATGGGTCATACCATAAATTTAAATGGCCAGCAGTAGGTTGGTGCGACCCAGAAATGGGAAATTGAGTCAAATAAATGCATTGTTTTTTGAGCACGGTTGACTTACCTAAGTGAGTCATTTAGACCCACCCATTTGTCTCAGTGTAAAAAGGCAAAGTAATTGTAATAATTATAATATTTCCATAATTACATGAAGTAATTATGGAAATTTACTGAAGCTTCTCATCTGCATTGATGCATTGATACATGCAAGCCTAAGATAACTAACATTTCTCTAATTAATACCGGTATATAATAATAATTAGGATAAAATAGTATAAAATAGATGATAAATTCTTCATAATAATATAAGTACCTGACAGAGAAAATAGACATGCAGGCAGCTGCAAGTCAATTAATAATGGTGTAAAGTTATTATACTTGTCCAATGGCTGCCTAAATTAGCTAATAATAATATAATTTAGTATAAATCAATTTTCAGTACCTACGTGTCAATAAGCTTAATGAATGTCAAGGCAGCCTTGTCATGTCCAGGCTGCATTGTCATGTCCAGGCAGCCTTGTCATGTCCAGGCAGCCTTGTCATGTCCAGGCAGCCTTGTCATGTCAAGGCAGCCTTGTCATGTCCAGGCAGCCTTGCACCTAATGGCCACCTGTCCCTATGCACCTAATGGCCACCCGTCCCTATGCACCTAATGGCCACCCGTCCCTATGCACCTAATGGCCACCTGTCCCTATGTAGGTACCGGTACCTAATATGGACACCTGTCGCGCACGGTATACGGGCCCGACAGGTGGCCATATTAATACGGGCAACCGTCCCTATGCACCTAATGGCCGCCCGTCCCTATGCACCTAATGGCCCCCTGTCCCTATGCACCTAATGGCCACCCGTCCCTATGCTCCTAATGGCCCCCCGTCCCTATGCAGAGATCATGAACGAGGTGATCAAGTCTAAGAAGTCCAAGGCGACGCAGGACTGGCGCGTGCTCGTGGTCGACCAGCTCGCCATGAGGATGATCTCCACGTGCTGCAGCCTTGTCTTGTCAAGGCAGCCTTGTCATGTCAAGGCAGCCTTGTCTTGCCAAGGCAGCCTTGTCTTTTCAAGGCAGCCTTGTCTTGTCAAGACAGCCTTGTTATGTCAAGGTAGCCTTGTCTTACCAAGGCAGCATTGTCTTGTCAAGGCAGCCTTGTCATGTCAAGGCAGCCTTGTCATGTCAAGGCAGCCTTGTCTTGCCAAGGCAGCCTTGTCTTTTCAAGGCAGCCTTGTCTTGTCAAGGCAGCCTTGTCTTGTCAAGGCAGCATTGTCATGACAAGGCAGCTTTGTCATGTCAAGGCAGACTTGTCATGTCCAGGCAGCTTTGTCATGTCAAGGCAGACTTGTCATGACAAGGCAGCACTGTCTTGTCAAGGCAGCCTTGTCACTGCCGTAGCTCCATGTTTCCACCAATAGATGCAATGTATGTGTACAGCCTTCCTTTTGAGTTCAGTTGACATAGAAATGTTCTCTGCGGTCACGTCCAAATATCTCGTAACTAAAGCACTTCTGAGAGATAGCAACTCTTGCTGGAAACTTGCAGAGAACTTGCCGGAGTTGTTGGAGAACTTTGAGAACCATAGCGTGCCCTAGGTTGTAGTTGCAATGCAGTCTTTGAACTTGTTCTTATCTAGGTCTTGTCGAGGAACTTATTTCTATCCTGAACCTATTTCTATTTATAACTTATTTGTATCTAGAACTTATTTCTATCTAGAACTTATTTCTATCTAGAACCTCGAGGTTGTTAGTTCTGAAGCCACTCCAGGCATATATATGACTGCACTCTTGCTTCTTTTGTGGGGGTGGGGGTAATCCTGTTCGTTCCCCCATTTTTCGATATGGGAGAGGGAGGAGGGGGGTGGCAGACCCCCACCCCCTCTCTTGTAATTTCGGGGGTCCGTGCCCTTGACTCGATGACGTCATCCATATTGATCTTCCCCCCCCCCTCTCCACTAGCCCTCCCTCCCTCCCCTCTGTCTGTACCCTAAACCTCACCCCTCACTTCCTCCCCCCCTCCATTTACCCCCCCACACGTGTTGCCATCTGTCTTTTGCTGATCACCTGTCCATGTGCACCTAATGGCCACCTGTCCCTATGCACCTAATGGCCACCCGTCCCTATGCACCTAATGGCCACCCGTCCCTATGCACCTAATGGCCACCTGTCCCTATGTAGGTACCGGTACCTAATATGGACACCTGTCGCGCACGGTATACGGGCTGTCTCTTATACACATCTAGNGAGTGAGTACCGCCGCCCTCATCTCGTCTGAGGGCATCACGAGTGAGTACCGCCGCCCTCATCTCGTCTGAGGGCATCACGAGTGAGTACCGCCGCCCTCATCTCGTCTGAGGGCATCACGAGTGAGTACCGCCGCCCTCATCTCGTCTGAGGGCATCACGAGTGAGTACCGCCGCCCTCATCTCGTCTGAGGGCATCACGAGTGAGTACCGCCGCCCTCATCTCGTCTGAGGGCATCACGAGTGAGTACCGCCGCCCTCATCTCGTCTGAGGGCATCACGAGTGAGTACCGCCGCCCTCATCTCGTCTGAGGGCATCACGAGTGAGTACCGCCGCCCTCATCTCGTCTGAGGGCATCACGAGTGAGTACCGCCGCCCTCATCTCGTCTGAGGGCATCACGAGTGAGTACCGCCGCCCTCATCTCGTCTGAGGGCATCACGAGTGAGTACCGCCGCCCTCATCTCGTCTGAGGGCATCACGAGTGAGTACCGCCGCCCTCATCTCGTCTGAGGGCATCACGAGTGAGTACCGCCGCCCTCATCTCGTCTGAGGGCATCACGAGTGAGTACCGCCGCCCTCATCTCGTCTGAGGGCATCACAAGTTCAAATTCTCGTACACGTATTAATACGGGCGCGATATCTACCCGTATTAGCGGCATGATGATGGTCCGTGTTAGTGGGTGGCATTAATCTCCCGTATTATCGTCTCACCGTATACTGGGTCGTACTAACGGGACCGTATGCTTTCGTATCAACGCTCTCTCTATTTACGTCAGGACGTCATACGTCTATTTACGTATATATTGACCCGTATTGTTGTCTCGCATAAATGGCGTTTATTTGCCGTACAAATGACAAATTTTGCCGTATAAATGGCCGCATTAGCGTGCCGTATCATTGTTGCACATTAACGCGCCGTATTATTGTCCCATATTAACATGGCGTATTATCGTCCCATATTAACGTGCCGTATTATCGTCTCGTATTAACGCCCCGCATTATCGCCCCGTATTACCGCCCCGTATGACCGTATGACTCGTTGCAGTCGTGGAGGACATCAACAAGAGGCGGGAGCCGCTGCCGCTGCTGGAGGCGGTGTACCTCATCCAGCCCACCAAGGAGTCCATCAGTGGACTGGAGCAAGACTTCATCACCAGCAGCAAGGCCATGTACAAGTCTGCTCACGTCTACTTCACTGAGAGTGAGTCTACTTCACTGAGAGTGAGTCTACTTCACTGAGAGTGAGTCTACTGCACTGAGAGTGAGTCTACTGCACTGAGAGTGAGTCTACTGCACTGAGAGTGAGTCTACTGCACTGAGAGTGAGTCTACTGCACTGAGAGTGAGTCTACTGCACTGAGAGTGAGTCTACTGCACTGAGAGTGAGTCTACTGCACTGAGAGTGAGTCTACTGCACTGAGAGTGAGTCTACTGCACTGAGAGTGAGTCTACTGCACTGAGAGTGAGTCTACTGCACTGAGAGTGAGTCTACTGCACTGAGAGTGAGTCTACTGCACTGAGAGTGAGTCTACTGCACTGAGAGTGAGTCTACTGCACTGAGAGTGAGTCTACTGCACTGAGAGTGAGTCTACTGCACTGAGAGTGAGTCTACTGCACTGAGAGTGAGTCTACTGCACTGAGAGTGAGTCTACTGCACTGAGAGTGAGTCTACTGCACTGAGAGTGAGTCTA